GTCAGGATTGATCCTCAGCTTATTCGTCTGCGTCCAGACAGTCACAGCAGTCAGACACTTGTCCAGCACCAGAGGGGCTTCCTTGGAATTAGGTGGAAAGGAGTAGTAGAGTTGGGCATCATCCACATAGAGATGGCACCAAAACTCTGGATGACCTCTCCCAGCGGTTTCATGTAGATATTAAAAAGCATGGGGGATAGAATGGAACCTTGCGGGACCCCACAAGTCAAAGGCCAGGGGTCCAAGTAGGCGTTGCCCAGCTTCACCATCTGGGAACAACCCTCCAGGAAGGACCGGAGCCACAACAAAGCCATGCTCCCAAGACCCATCCCAGAGAGCCAGCCCAGAAGGATACCATGGTCGATGGTATCGAAAGCTGCTGAGATGTCCAAGAGAACCAGCAGGGTCACACTCCCCTTGTCTAGTTCCCTGCGGAGGTCATCCACCAAGGCGACTAAAGCTGTCTCAGTACCGTGACCAGGCCTAAACCCAGACTGCGACTGATCTAGATCAGTGTCCTCCAGAAATCCCTGGAGCTGCGAAGCAACCACCCGCTCCAGCACCTTGCCCAGAAAGGGGAGGTTAGAGATTGGCCTGTAGTTATTCAAGACCGTAGTGTCAAGGGAGGTCTTCTTCAGGACTGGTCTCACCACTGCCTGCTTCAGAACAGATGGAAATTTCCCTTGAGCCAATGAAGCATTAATAATCGGCACAAACCAATCTAGTAACCCCCCTTGGACTACTTTAATTATCCAGGAAGGGCAGGGATCCAGAGCCGATGTGATTGCCCTCAGAGCCCCAAAGACCGCGTCCACGTCATCAGGACGAACAAGCCGGAAAGAATCCCATAAGATAGGACAGACAGATGCCTCGGTCACCTCCTCTGACATTGCATTTAAACTGGAGTCCAGCTCGAGGCAAATCCGAGTGACTTTATCTGCAAAATGGTGCACGAACTTGCAGCACTGAGTTGCTGAGTCATCGAGGACCCCCCCCACACACACACACACACACCTCGGGAGGGTGGAGGAGCTCTCTGACAACCCGAAACAACTCCGAAGGTCTATTAGATGCAGACACTATGCGGGCAATCGAGAAGATCTTCCTGGCTGCCCGCAAAGCCGTAGAATAGGCCCTAACAGAGGCTCTCGGTCAGAGACACCCCGAGATTTCCTCCAGATGCTCTCTAGACTCATTCTCGTGCGCTTCATCCCAGCCAAATCCTCAGTGAACCAAGGAGTTGGCCTGGCTCTACACAACGAGAGGGGACATTTGAGGGCAACAGCATCAGTCCTCAGAGAAGATGCAGATCACCTTAGAATATTCAGCACATATGTCAATCTGCAGAGGAGATGTAAAGGCAATGATAGGAGATTTTCTGCTGAAGGGAGGAAAAGCAGTGGCTTCTGGGATATTTTGAGATGTGTGCTCTCCCTGGAGTCAATATTAATGATATGATAAAGTCAATCAAGCCCACTGACCATTACCTTTTCCTTTTAGTTTGCATGGGAACTAATGATACTGCAAGGCAGAGCTTTTGGAAGATCACAAGGAATTATGAGGCTCTGGTAAGGAGCTCAGGGATTTAGATTCACTGATTGTCATTTCATCTCATCTTCCTATTGAAGGATATGGCCCAGGAAGGGGAAAAAGAGTAATGTACATGATCAACCAGCTTCACAGATTGTGCCACTGGAAATGATTTGGCTTCTAAGACCATGATATATGGTTTCACAAAGATGGACTTCTCACAGCAGTTGGCAGGAATGTTTCTGTTCAAAGTCTCTCAGACCTGAACAGGATTATTTTTAATTGAGTTATTTAGAAGGAGACAGCATTTTTGAAGGCAGCGTTTGTCAAATTCTGAAAATAATAACCCAACTGTTATAGAGACAACTGGGTAAAAAGTACAAGAACTCGACAGAATTTTTTTTTAAATGGGGCAGAGGAGAATGGCCTATGTTTCTGTACTAATGCAAAGAGCATGGGAATAAGCAAGATGAACTCAAACTCTTGACAGAGAAAAGCAAATATATTAACAGCATCACTGAAACCTATATTTGTTGGAAGGCAAACTGCCAAGAATTTAAGATGCAACCCATTTTTTACTTGCCTTGCAGACAAAAACTGAAAAAGGCAATAAGAGGATCAGCTATTTTTTGGTCTGATCCTAACAACAGTAATCAGGGGAGAGTAGCAGGATCTCTAGATGGGAATTTGTGATATAAAATATGGCAAAAGTAGGAAATAATCTAAGGGAAATTTATGCAAATAAAAGTCAGAAAAGCTAAAGTTCTGAATTAGCCTACACTCGCTAGAGAGGTTACAAATAATAAAAACAGCTTTTTTGGTTATGTCCATAGCAAAAGGAGGAACAAGGAAATGCCAAAAATCTAATGGAGCAAAGAAAAGGAAGAGCTACTCAATATCTGCTTTGCCTTGGTCTTCTCTCAAAAGGAAAACAATGCTGAACTTGGGGGAAATGAAGCGGATGATTCAGTAGGAGACATGAAGCACAGAATAGGTAAAAAGAGAGTACAGGAATACCCAGCTACTACATTTAAATGCAAGTCTCAATGGCCAGATGAACTACATCCAATGAAGGGTGTTGTGTGGTTTCCGAGCTGTATGGCTGTTTTGGCAGCATTTTTCCTGATCTTTCGCCTGCATCTGTGGCTGACATCTTCAGAGGATCTCATGGTAGTAAAGCAAGTGGAATACATATACCTGTGGAATGTGCAGGGTGGAAGAAAGAACCACTCTCTGTTAACCAAGTGTAAAGGGTCCATTTAGCAAGCTTGATTTGCAAGTGTTTGAGTGGGATCCATCCATAGCATGTGACTAGCTAAGAAGATTGCATAGTTAATAATGAGGACATCTGCTTGGGAGTACATTGGCCTTTGTTGCCTTTGTATTGTTTATTGCCTGGAGACATCTTTTGTGTGAGTGATATTCACCAGCCCACATTTGCTTGCTCCCTGGAGGCCTCCTGTGTCTGGGTTGTGTTCATTAGTCACTGTCTTGATTGTGGTGTTTTTCGATCCTGGTAGCCAGATTTTGTTCATTTTTATGGTTTCTTCCTTTCTATTCAAATTGTCCATATGCTTGTGAATTTCAATGACTTCTAGGTTCCTGTGGGTTTTTTCGGGCTATAGAGCCATGTTCCAGAGGCACTTCTCCTGACGTTTCGCCTGCATCTATGGCAAGCATCCTCACACCTCTGAGGATGCTTGCCATAGATGCAGGCGAAACGTCAGGAGAAGTGGCTCTGGAACATGGCTCTATAGCCCGAAAAAACCCACAGGAACCTAGTGATTCCAGCCATGAAAGCCTTCGACAATTCAATGACTTCTCATTGTAATCTAACAAAGTGGATCAGAATTTCTGTGTTTTCTAATAATATTCTGTGTGGAAGCATTTCACAGGCCTAGGGCTACAAAGAGGAAAAAACTACTTTCTGCAAAAACAGGGATGTTTAATCTTTTTTGTTACTAGCCATGTTTCCTTCATGGAAATCTCTAGGGAGCCATAAACCAAGGGGACTGGGTGCTAATAGCGGGCAGCTCTGTTTCTCTTTACCACTACTACTATTAAAGACTACTGTATATACTTATACATTGGAATGTCAATATAAGAGCATCCCAACTTAAGAGTATTTTGAGTTAAGAGCCATTGCTCGGCCCAGGTTTCGCTTTGACACGCAAGCACCATTTTGAGTTAAGAGCTAGCACCAGAGGGAACAGTAACATGAGAGTACAGGGCTTTAGGGTTTCAAGGGAGCAGCATCCATTCCTTGTGCTCTTGTCCGCTTTGGGAGATTGCTGTCCACTTTGCTCTTATCCATTTTAAGGAATTTTGGGTTAGTTGATTGCGTGTGGTTTTTATTCTTGGTGTGTTTGGCTTCATGAAGAGAGGGGGGGGGAGCAAGAGAGGGAAGAGGCTGGAATGAATATTGTATGAAGAAAAATTATGTTTCTACCTCTTTGTGCTTCCTTATCACAAATTTGTGCTTCTACCATTTTAAAGTTGATCTTTTTTTTCTTATTTTTCCATGTGAATGTGCAGGTTTTACCATATATCACTTGTTATTTATAAAACACGTAACAAAAACAATTGGTGTAGTTTTGAAGGGCCAAAATAGATTAATTGCATTTCAGTGGGAAAATTCACTTTAAGAGAAGCGCGATTTGAGTTAAGAGCTCTGTTATGGAATGAATTAAACTCTTGATTCAAGGTATCACTGAACATACATAAGTGCAAGGCAAGTTTGGGGGCCAACATAGATTTTGGTATGCTCATGGATAAATCAAGGATTGTTCTACAGAAACGAGAAAGCACCAGCACTTCCTCAAGTCACCTGTCCCTGGCTGCTACTATGAGATGAACTAAACTCTCATCCTTTGCCACTCTGCTTAGAAAGGAACAGTTCCTCTTTTGATATGAGTTAAGATACAAACTCATGGATAAAAAATTCTAGACTTATACATGAATGCACCATATATAGGGTATTTAGGGGGACTCAAGTTAATTCTGATACAACATGTATACAATTGCAGTTTATCTTACAGCTTTCCAGATTGTAGGGTTACCATTCCCATCAACTCCAGCTGCCATGGCTTATGGTGAGGAATAGTAGAAAGTATAATCCAGGCCATCTAAAAGGCACCAAGGTGCGGAAAGTCAGGCACTAATGGCTCCCCCCCCCCCGCCCCCCAGTCCTATAGACTTTCACAATCCTTGCAGAATGATTTGTGTCTAAATTGTGTTTCTTTGTTTTCTGCAGGACAATGGAGAGGAAAACATGGACCTCTTTTTCTCATTAGTGCTTACCCTTCTACATTCAGAGAATGAGAAAAATGAGATTGAATGGCCTGTAATAAAATAAAAATCATGAGGCTAATCAAAGAAAAGAAATTCAAATTAGGGAATGTCAGTAATCACACAGGCACTGTCAAATTACTTTTCAGACCATTAAATTATATTATAAAACATTTGAAACCACTTTTGTATTAAATTTTGTTTTTACTCTACACCAATGAGCTTGCAGGGGAGTGAATATTAACTCGTTTTTATTGTTTGGAGCAAATTGGTGATTGGTGAGGAAGCTCAAAAGAGACACAGCATGGGAGAAAATTTCTTTCAGTGTTCCAGTCCTGTTGAAAGTGTTTTGGGAAGCCCAGATATCTTTCAACACCAGCAAAGCAGTCTAACTAATGGGCTATATAAATGCCTGGAGTGTGGGAAATGTTTCACTCACAGCAAGAACTTCAGTACTCACCAGAGGATCCACACTGGAGAAAAACCTTACAAGTGTTCTGATTGTGGGAAAAGATATGGTGCCAGCTCGACCCTTAGTAGGCATCGAAAAATCCACATGGAAGAAAAACCCTATAAATGCCCTGACTGTGAGAAGAGTTTTAGTTATAAAGCAGACCTGATTAAACACCATCGAGTTCACACTGGGGAGAAACCCTATGTGTGCCGTGACTGTGGGAAGAGCTTTAGTCAGAGCTCAAATTTTGTTACTCATCAGAGAAGCCACACGGGAGAGAAACCTTATGAATGCCCTGACTGTGGGAAAAGTTTTACGGTGAGTTCAAGCCTTATCGAACATCAGCGAGTCCATACTGCTGAGAAGCCCTTCTTGTGTACAAAATGTGGGAAAAGTTTCAATCGGAGCTCACACCTAAATGTGCACCAACGAATCCACACTGGAGAGAGGCCATTTCAGTGTTTGGATTGTGGGAAAGGTTTTACCATCCTCTCCACCCTTAGTAAACACCAAAGGATCCACACTGGAGAAAAACCTTATAAATGCCCTAAATGTGAGCGAAGCTTTAGGGTGAGCTCAATCCTTACCCAGCATATCAGAACCCACACAGGAGAGAAGCCGTACATTTGCCTTGAGTGTGGGAGATGCTTCAGTCAAAAGTCACCTCTCATTTCTCACCAGAGACTTCATACTCGCCAAAAAAAATGTATAGAGTGATTGGTCTGAAACAAAGTAGTGTGCTTTAGAAATTGATGAGTCGTAATTTGTCATTGTTTAGTTTATGGCATTAAGAAAGTGGTCTAGGATATAAAATCAGTGGAGCCCTGCTGCACTTATTTCCTTCCTGTACAAAGTTATATATTTGGGCTTGTAAAAGGAATGCTGAATTTTTCAAAAAGTTGGATTCAATTTGAAATTGCTATATTTACAACCATGACCCACCCACGAATGAAAGTCTTACTCCTTGAAAGGAGGCATAGAGTTGAGGAGGACAAAAGGTTGCCAGTTTGAAGCCCAGGTCGGGGTGAGTACCTGACTGTTAGCCCAGCTCACTGTTTACCTAAGCAGTTCGAAAACAGCTTAAAGCTGTAAGTAAAGAAATTAGGTACTGCTAAAAAAAAGTGGGGGAGGTATTTTCTGACACCATAAAAGAAAAAAGACCAGAATATGCTGGCAACCCAAAGAAAGGAGGAAGTCCTAATGGCTCTTTGTCATAGAGAATGGAGCGACAGCACCCCCTGTGGCTGGATTTGAGCACAACCTCCAAAGGCTCTGAAAGCTAGATATTGACACAACATACCTCCTTTCTGCCTGTTCTGTCCTGTCTGTCCAAATTGAATGTTTGCCATGTGTGTGTACTGTGATCCGACCTGAGTCCCCTTGAGGAGACAGGACGGAATAGAAATAAAGTGTTATTATAGCGTTTCAAATTATTGCAGCTAGATGCCTCTCCAAGTGCACCTGTTATTCACAAGATGGCAATCCTGCAATGTAAGGCCTAATGAGAAATTCTGAAAAAATATCTTTATATCTGGCTCAAGATGGTTAATAAAACTTCATAACTCATTAAACCATTTGTAACTTTTTGTGTAATTGTGACATGTCACCACTGTGAAATATACTCCTTTGACATTGGGCCCATCATTTTGAAATGCCCTGTAGTTAAAATGACTTCATTTGGTAGCATTTCAGAAAAAATTAAAAGTAGACAATGTTTTTGCAGAATCTCCCATATGGAGAGAGTGTAAGCCTCAATTTGTTTATGCCATAAATGTTAGTATAGGATTGTCATGAGGATAACTGGCACCAGAATGTTTAAAAGTCCTTTGTACGTAGAAAAGAACTGTGGAACCAATAAAATTATTCCAAAAGACTAATTTCATCTGATAAGGAGTGATTACTTAAGGATGGTATGAGGCTAAGAACTCTTTAACCCTTAATTTGTTATGGCCCATTTCCTTGTTCTCTTCTTCGCCGACAAGAGGGTCCATTAAACTGTCGTCAAGATAGGACACTTCAGATTTATATCTACATTTGGAAACATGGATTTAATTGGCAGAACTGGGAATGGCACTTTCCATCTTTTCATTTCCTACTCATCCCTTAATGGAGCAATGCTCTTGGAACATTCCCACTCACTTCCGAATACAAGGTTGGATTCCAGGTCATCTTGTGTAGAAAGGAGACAGGAGAATGAAGATACATATGCAACTGAGAAGAATTTTATACCACTTTATTTTATAAAAAAACTAAACAAAGCACAATGGAATTATATAATAAAATTACAAACATTTCATTCAAATGATCTGGTTGGTAAGCACAGATGAAAAATGAACAAGCTACTTTGAAATATTGTTAAAATTATCTGCAATACCAAAGTCTTGACAATTCCTTTACCAGGCTGTAATTACAGAGTTATAGAATCACAGATTTGGAAGATATCACAAGGGCCATCCACTCTAATCCCATTCCGCCATGAAGTAACACAATCAAAGCACTCCTAACTAATAGCCATCCAGACTCTGTTTAAAACCCTCCAGAGGAGATTTCACCAGACTTCCAGGCCGTATATTCCACTTCCAAACACTTGCGCTGAGCAATGGTGATCTGTTCTGTCACCAGAGATGTAGCAGACAGACCTTTCCATCTCTCTGTCTCCAACACTCTCCCAACATAGCAAGTAAGACGCAAGATCCCTGGTGCAATTTCGTCTTCCCCAGGGAATTCCTAGCAGAACTTGGGAGGAATATCTTCAACTGTTGGACAACAGATATCTATCGCTCTCAATGGCTACTTCCTGGTAAAGCCGGACAGGAGGACCTTCATGATTATGGCAGAAATGTCATGATCATGCATACTTAGTCTGTTGTAACTACGAATCAGTTACAGATTTATTACTCTTGGTTACACATCAGTAGCTTTGATAGTACATTTCTGGCAATGTTAGTTCTAACATTTAATTTAACAAATACAGTTAACAGCTTGGCCAGAAATATATGGAGCTGCCTTATGTGCTGCCACATTGGTTGTCAGATTGGCCGCTGTGCTTGGCTTATGTCTTCATAATGTCTGGAATGAGAGAAGAAAATTGTGTTATTTATTCATGCAATCTCGTGTGCTGAGATGACTGGTCATACTGGCAAAGTTTCAGCCAACTTCCACGCTCAGCTACATCTATCTCATAGGCTGCTGTCTCTCCTCAAAGAATGCTGCACTCCATAGATGCGATGAGCTTGCTTCTTGTTATGTTCCTTCAAGTCATTTCCGACTTATGGGAACCTTGAAGGTCATGTGGCCAGCATGACTGCATGGAGCGCCATTACCTTCCCGCAGAAGCAGTACCTATTAATCTACTTACATTTACATGTTTTCAAACTGCTAGGTTGGCAGAAGCTGGGCCTAACAGCAGGAGAGCTCCCTGGATTTGAGCCGCCAACCTTTCAGTCAGCAGGTTCAGCAGCTCAGCAATTTAACCTGCACGACCGGGGACCCAATGAATGAACTATTCTTGAACTGTTCTTGAAGAACAGATGCATACTGCAATGGAATCAAGAAAATATTTTATACAATGCTCCTTTTATTGATTTATTCTTTGGAAAGTACACTCAAGATTATTCCTTGGCTATAGAATACCAGCAAAATGGCTCTGCTAGTTTAGGACACTATCTGTAGGGCTGCATGATTTTCACAGAAGTTGGAGAAATGCAAATGTACTAAACCCTGGCCAAGCATAACATTTCACGGTGAAAATGACATTTGACAAAACAGAAGAAGGGCCTGCCTCAGGGGAGCATGCTCGCTCCATCAATGTTTAACATTTACACAAATGATCAGCCACTGCCAGAAGGGACGGAGAGCTTCATCTATGCTGACGATCATGCCATCACCGTCCAAGCAGGGAGCTTTGAAATGGTTGAACAGAAGCTCTCTGAAACTTTAGGTGCTCTCACTGCCTATTACAGGGAAAACCAGCTGATTTCTAATCCATCTAAAACACAGACGTGTGCTTTTCATCTTAAGACCAGACACGTATCTCGGGCTCTGAGGAATACATGGGAAGAAATCCCACTGGAGCACTGGAGCACACCCAAATACCTGGGAATTACCCTGGACCATGCTGTGACCTACAAGAAGCACTGCTTGAATCTCAAGCAAATAGTGGGTGCTAGAAACAATATCATACGAAAACTGACTGGCAAAACCTGGGGATCACAACCAGATGCAATGAAGACATCTGCCCTTTGCTACTCTGCTGCTGTGTACGCTTGCCCAGTGTGGAACACATCTCACCACACGAAAACAGTGGATGTGGGTCTTAATGAGACATGCCACATTATCACAGGATGTCTACACCCTACACCACTGGAGAAATTATATCCTGACATCTGCCGGGAAGTAGCAGCCAATAATGAAAAGACCAAGGCAGTGACATCTCTGGCCCATCCCATGTTTATTTATGTATTTATTTGCCATATTTATATACCGCCACTCTCAGCCCAGAGACGACTCAGAGTGGAAATCAGCCAGCAAGTCAACGCCTTAAATCAAGAAATAGTTTTCTAAGATCTACAGAGATACTCACAGGAAAACTTCAGTAAGTAAGAATCCAAAAGTGGCAGGCTAAAACCTGGAACCTCAAGCCATCGCTGATACCAAATGAGAGACTCCCCTCTGGGCACACAGAAGACTTGGAAGGCACTAAACAGACTGTGCTCTGGCACCACGAGATGCAGAGCCAACCTTAAGAAATGGGGCCACAAAGTGGAGTCCATGACATGCAAGTGTGGAGAAGAGCAAACCACAGACCACCTACTACAATGCAGTCTAAGCCCTGCCACATGCATAATGGAGGACCTTATAGCAACACCAGAGGCACTCCAAGTGGCCAGCTACTGGTCACAGGACATTTAGTATAATGCCAACTTTTTAAAACTTTGTGTTTTTTAAATACTTTACAACTGTGCTTCTGATATGTGCCCCTTGACTATCACATTAAGATGGGTGGAGACTAAACCTGTTTGATCTGTGACCCACTGAGAATCAAAGTTTCATGGTCCCTGTATCTGTAAAATAGCCAAGTTATGGGCTTGAAGTCTTCAGTTGTGCTTAAATGATGGATTCTCAGGAACTGGTTATTCAGAGTAGAGACAAGTTGAACTTTCATCATGGAAGAACATATTATTCTGATGTTTTGGCTAGGTTTCAATTCAGGCTCAGCACCAGTTGCTAAAACAAAGTGACTTTTCTGAACACTCACTCAATTTGGCGGTGTAGGTAGCAAGGCATGAAAGTTTTAAATGTCCCACAACTCCCATCTGCCCCATCAGCACAACCAATGGAAAGGTTGCAAGAGTTGTAGTCTAAAATATCTAGCTGTCCGAAGATTTTCCATTGCTGACTGATGTGGTGCTGAGGTTGAACCGTCCCTGGTTCTTCCTATCCGCAGAACACCCAGCTCAGGAAATCTCATAAGGTTTCAAACCTACACAACTTGCCTTGTGTTTTGCTCTCCATTAATCATCAGAATATTAAAAGTACGATATTAACTTACTGACGTTTCTTCCAACGACAATAGACTGCAGCTGCAATAGCCGCCAATAAAGCAAGTATAAGGCCGATGACTACTGCAGTGGCTTTGCTGGATTTTCCTGGAGAATACAGAGATACAAGCAGAAGAAAACATTGAAATAGAGCAGCAAGGGGACTGTGCGCCGTCAGCCTTGTGATCAAAATTTAAGTTGTTGTTCTTCAGCAAGAACTTTTGAAATTCTCTGTAATGGCAGATGGTGCTACTAAGTTACTATTATATCACTTCAGCATTTCCTGATCTGGCATACTCTTGAAAAGATTGACTAGAACTCTCAAAATTAGATTTATTGGCTGGAGTAGGTGAGATTTGTAGTCCAAGATGTCAGAAGAGCAATGGGTTTAGAAGACTGCTACATGATCCATACAATGGCTTCTCCAGCAAGAGGTTACCAATTATAGGTTTGCGTGATTCGTTTTTAGAACTTTTGATTTCCACAATAAGAATGGATTAAGAGAACCTTTTGGGTGTTCTAAACAACAATAAAATGACAGATTCCCAAGACTATTAACTGCGCTTGTAAACACCTGATGCAGCCAAGTTGGGAATTAGAGGTCGAAACATTAGGAGGACATTGGTAACGCTATTGTTACATCCCGAATGGATTACTGCAACGAACTCTACGTGGGGTTGCCTTTGAAGACTGTTTGGAAACTCCAACTTGTCCAACCAGTGGCAGTCGGGTTACTCACCGGAGTGGCATACAGAGAGCGCACCCCCCACCCCACCCCGTTGTGTCAGTTCCACTGGCTGCCAGTCCAGTTCCGAGCACAATTGGCCTATAAAGCCCTTTATGGTTCTGGGCCTGCTTACTTGTCCAAATGTATCTCCCTCTACGATCTACCTTGGAGTTTAAAATCACCCGGGGAGGCCCTGCTCTCAGTCCCACCTTCACAAAGGCGACTGGCGGAGACAAGAGATAGGGCCTTCTCGGTTGTGGTCCCCGTCTGTGGAACACACTCCCCAGGGAAATCAGATCGGCTCCATCTCTCCTTTCCTTCAGGAAAAAGCTCAAAACATGGTTTTGGGACCAGGCATTTGGGCAGCAGGCCTAACTGCAATTGCAACATTATATTTGAATTAATAATGCATAGGCTTTGGACTGGATCTCTCAATTGAACTTGGATGCAGTTATATTGTTTATGTAATCATAATGACTTAAATGTTTTAAATTGCTATTTTCTAATTTAATGTTTTAATTATTGTTGAATCTGTGTTATATTGTTATGGTGTATATGTTGGCATCGAATTGCTGACGATTGTAAGCTGCCCTGAGTCCCTCCCCTCAGAGGTTGAGAAGGACAAGGTACAAATGTTTGAAATAAATCAATAATAAATAAATAAAGGGTGGGAAAAGAGTTGCTGCTGCAATCAATACAAATTGGTGTTGTTCACAGGGTTCAACAAGAAGCAGCAGTGTGTAGTATATTTAAAATTTTGCTGCTTTATGTTTCTGAAACATGCTAATTCCAGCAACAAATTTTGTCCAGGATAATCAGAATGAAACAAGACCAGGATTGGGATTTTGTGTTGTTTCCAGGCTTTATGGCCGTGTTTTAGCAGCATTTTCCCCTGGCGTTTTCCTGGCATCTTCAGAGGATTCTCAGTGGTGACATTCTTTCCTTACTCATATTTGTATCAAGGATTAAATGAGGAATTTCATCACTTCCCTAACAGACACACACAATGCATTTCCGCATCAAAATACTCACCCCATGGGATGATGAGACTTTTCCCATCAAGGCTGCTGTGCTGTATCCTGCAAGCATAACTGTGCGAAGTCTCCGTTGACTTAATTGCCAGAGAACTCCTGATTTGGTAGGTCAGGTCGTAGTTAGGCAAGATGGTGGTGGAGTTGATCCTTGAGCTGGGCAAGGCTACTTCATCCTGAAGCCAGGAGACGTTGATGAGGTGTGGATAAAAACCTGTCACTCGGCAAACCAATAGGAGGGAGTCAGTGGTTTCAGGAGGCTCCTGGGCAAAGACCACAGCAACAGGTTTATCTGGCAATCAAAGGGAGTTCAGAGAGATTATAAAAGTACTCTCAAGTACCCTTGAGGTTCATAGCGCATAAAGGGACCATCTATACATGCCCCAAACAGTGTGCTGGTTTGGAATGGGAAACTCTGGATCAGTGCCACCCAAGTTTACACAGCCAGCCCTAAGCCAGACTAGTGACTGGATGCTAAAATCAACGTACCTGTTGAACTTCTGTCTGATGCAGGGTTATTGCATGTACAAGGGGGGAAAAGATGGCAATCTGAAGGAGGACTGCACTGGCTATTGCTTAGCACACATGTGTCAAACTCAAGGCCTGCAGGCTGAATCTGGCCTGCCATGACATTTAATGTGGCTCCCCAGATTCTGGACTACAAACTCCTGTGTTCCTCATCATTTTATTTTATTTTGTATCAAAAGCTTTGCATAAATTAGTATAAAACCGATAAAATAGAAGGAGCACAGGCAGCTAAATATCTTTTGACCAAAATTGTAGCCTCCAACAATTCTTCCTCTGTACATGAGGCAGGGCATAGTGGACAAGCATACAGGTGCAGAGTTGTCTGTTCTGCTCCACAGTCACACAAGGTGTGGGATTATTTTAGGTAGTGCCATTTTGCCAGGTTGTTCCTCATCATTAGACGACATGACTAGAGCTGATGTGAGATGGGATACAGTAACATCTGGAAGGTGACAGTTTGTTCTGTTTGGTCAGGGAATTGAATTCAGATGCAATGCTTGTGGCTGGGATGTCTGACTTGAAAATGTCCTTTAACTTTTCCCTGACCTCAGAGCCATAAGTGCTCTTGGGTTGCAGTCCCCAGTCCTCATGGCAGATAATCAAAAGTAATGGGAGCTGTCGTTCAGTAACATCTGGGAACCCAAATTGATTAAAAACTAAAGAGCACCAACCTATGTAAAGAAAATATAGTTGACCGTCTGTTTTCACCTGTTCTTTGCCCACAGATTCAACAGCCTTTTAAAAGCAACATAAGGCTGATGTGGCCCTCGATGAAAATGAGTCTGACACCCCTGGCTTAGTACATGTCTCCATGACCCACTGCACATATTTTTTAATTCCTGGTCTGAATATTGTAAATAAACAGATTTCATGATAGGTTCATTCTCCAGGACACATTCAAACTAAAGAATTATACCACAAGGTTCTATACCATGGAATCCTAAGATTAGTAGTTCAAGGGGAGCATTTTGAATTCTCAGCCAGAGTCCTGATGTCTCACCAAACAAAAATTCCCAGATTCCATAGGATGGAGCCATGGCAGTAAAGTGGAACAATAGGTAAAGGTTTCCCCTGACATTAAGTGTAGTCATGTCCAACTCTGGGGGGTACTGCTCATCTCCATTTCTAAGCCAAAGAGCCTGCGTTGTCCATAGACGCCTCAAAGATCATGTGGATGGCATGACTGCATGGAGCACCATTACCTTCCGCAGAAGAGGTACCTATTGATCTACTCACATTTGCATGTTTTCAAACTGCTAGGTTGGCAGAAGCTGGGGCTAATAGCAGGAGCTCACCCCACTTCCTGGACTCAAACCGCCAACCTTTCGGTCAGCAAGTTCAGCAGCAGTGGAACAATAGCACACAGTATAAATTGAACCCATTGCTTCACCTTCCAAAGCAAGTTCATATTACAATACTGTCCGTTACAACTAAAGTCTTACAAAATACAATACTATGGAACTTAGATCTGTGATGTCACTTACCCACAGCTGGAGGAAATGGTCTTTCTAGGAATTTTCTAGGTCCTCCAGACAATTCTATGATATGCTTTGCCCAGAAGTTACCATGGAGTCACAAATTCCTAAAGATGCTATCTATCTGGGATTATCTAGGTCCTACAGTGCAATGATATAGTATTCTGGAAGCAGGTGATTTAATGGTATTAGGTCACATCTGTGGTTTCAGATGGTCCAGATGGGAATGCGTCGTCGTGGATACGCGGGATCTTATTGTATTGCGTTCTAAGCTTACCTTGTTTGTACACAGTCACATTTCCAGTCAGAAGGGCAATCTTGACAGCTTTTACGAATGTGTTTAACAACAGTCTTTGAAGAATTGTTGATGTGCCCTTGTCCTTGTTGAGGAAGTCTTGAATGTAGAGAATCCATTCGTCATCCATTTGGGCAACCCAGGTGGCATTATTGGCACTGAATACAACAATGCCTTCCCCATCTACAGCACCATCATAAAAGCACCTCTTTGTTTCATCAGACTCAATTTCACAGAAGACCAATGACTGCACAACAAGAGGATCTGGATGTTAAAATATGAGAACATTCCAAGTTATTTGAGAGGCAAAATAATATAATAAGGGACTTCATGTAAGGGATTTCTGGTGCTACAGTATCAGAGAAGAACCTGAAGCTTGAGGACTGTAGTTGGGTTCCCTCTATATCAGAGTTTTCCAAGCATTTCATGTTGGTGACACACTTTTGAGACATGTATCATGTTGTGACACAATAATTCAGTTTTACCAGCAGCCCGTAAGTTGAACCAACTCCTTATAAGAGATACAGACTTCTACATAAATTGTCATAACAAAATATATGGGAACACAACACAGCTCATTTAAAATATATCATTTGTAAGATAATAACGGATTTCCAAGATTTTTGTCATTTCTCATTATGTTTGGATGACACACCTACGCACTGCAGCCAACACACTTAACATGACATGATACACAGTTTGGGAAGCTTTGCACTTGACCTTTGGGATTCCTTAAATGTCCATTCCTTTTTCTCCATGATACTATTGCTTATCATTTTCTTCCTTTTGTAGGACCCCTATAAAATATTAGAAACTCTTCTTCAAAGGTTGAATAAGGCATTTAAATGAAAAGAACACTGCTTTCACCATTTTGTCTTTGATCACACAAACCACTGAAATGCAGAATTTTGCAAAAAGCAATTAAATCTCGTCTGCTAAATTGTTAATTCATCAAATTTAATCCTAATGTTACCAAACTTAGGGCTTCTGACTTTTTTCCCCACTTGTGACCCCTTTCCACCTGATAAATGTTTACACAAACTAGATCATATTAAAAAGGTATAAAAACTAAACATTTACTGATAATAAACCAGTATTTGCAAGGCTTTCTAAGGCTGATTTTCCTTTTTATGAAATATAACTGAAGCATTCCATTGTAAACACTGCAAGTTGTTGCTAACAGATTCAAGTACATGTTTGGGTGGTGTTCAGAAACTTTTTACTATTTCCAAATTTTTCAGGGCACCAACACAGAGCTAAGGGGACCCCATTTGGAATGGGAACTCAAAATTTAAGAAGCAGTGGCCTAACACATGAGGGTGGGATCTCTCTCTTCCAGATTTAGCAAAATTGGGTGATGAAAGCATTGATTTTCCAACACACTAGAGGACCTAGAGATGCCTTGAGATAGATTCTCCTTAGAAAAGAGATAAAGGCTTAAGAGGGCATAGGGTTACAGCCTGTGATGGATGTGGTACACACCCCCCCCCCCCCCCCCCCCCCCCCCGAAGACGCAGGTTTGCAGTCTGGGAGTGATCCTGGATTCATCGCTGAGCCTGGAATCCCAGGTTTCAGCAGTGGCCAGGGGAGCATTCACACAGTTAAAACTTGTGCGCCAGCTGCACCCGTACCTTGGGAAGTCTGATCTAGCTACGGTGTTCCACGCTCTTGTTACATCCTGAACAAATTACTGCAACACACTCTACATGGGGCTGCCTTTGAAGACTGTTCGGAAACTACAACTAGTCCAACGGGCAGCAGCCAGATTACTAACTGGAGCGACATACAGGGAGCATACCACCCCCTTGTTGTGCCAGCTCCACTGGCTGCTGGTCCACATTTGAACTCAATTCAAAGTGCTGACCAATAAAGCCCTATACGGTTCTTCTAGCCCAGCTTACTTGTCTGAACTCATCTCCCTCTATGTCCCGCCTCGCAGTTTAAGATCATCCGGGGAGGCCCTGCTCTCGCTCCCGCCAGCATCACAAATACGGCTGACATGGACGAGAGACAGGGGCTTCTCAGCTGTGGCACCCTGCCTGTGGAACCCGCTTCCCCAGAGGTAAGATTGGCTTCATCCCTCCTGTCTTTTAGGAAGAAATTGAAGTCGTAGTTTTGGGACCAGGCTTTTGAACAGCAGGCATAAATAGCACTTTGAATATGGAATTCGACTGAAATGATGTCATGGCTGTTAATACTGTTTTATTGTTTTTAATGAATGTTCTATTTATTGTTTTAATTGTTATTATATTGCTTGTTATATGTAGTGGCATAGAACTGCTGCCAAATGTAAGCCGTCCTGAGTCCCCCTTTGGCGGTTGAGAAGGAACAGGGTAGAAATACCAGAAATAAATATTAAAGCCAGCACTTTGAATTGTGTTCGGTAGAAGACTGGCAGCCGGTGGAGCTGACACAACAGGGGAGTTGTGTGTTCCCTGTACCCCACTCTGGTGAGTAACCTGGATGCTACCCATTGCACCAATTGAAGCTTCCAAACAGTCTTCAAAGGCAACCCCACATATAACACATTGCAGTAATCTATAAGATATTCCTAGAAATAATATTTTAAACAAGTCTGTGAATAATCAAAACTCAGCTCCGCAAATCTGGGGAGTCTGACTGCACATTTGTCCACCTTAGTTGACAAGTAAGGATTATTTTGGAAATTGGAAATGGTGACTGGATGAGGCTGTAGAGGCGATGATTTTGGAAAACGATGATCTTGATGAGCCAGAAATGAATTGTATACTTACAGCTTCTATGTAAATCCAGAACAAGCTTGTTGACAGTTTGTTTGAAGCCTGTGAAATAGTATTTGAAAATCTTCTCCAGCAGTTCCCATTCCTGTGACATGAGGCAACTTCTGGCCCAAGGTTGAAGGAATCTGATCTTCCAGGTTTGGCTGTCAAACACAATGGCCTGCACATCTCCGAGAAAAACACCCACGTTGTATATATCGACAACATCAGCACTGTAGAAGGCTACCGTCTGAAATATTTGGAGGGCATGAGGGCCCACTGGGAGAGGAATGGAGACTGGAGGAAAAGACAAGAGGGTCAAGGGAAGATTAATGCATAGCCCCTGCGTCTTAAATTAATAAATAATTAAAAATAACTAGATATACTCAGATCATATATTTTAACCATGTATTAAATTAATTGTAACACAGGTAAGTGTGTTGATTTAGGGATATTGATATACTTGCAGGTATTGTAATCTCCTATATCACTGTTTCTCAACCTGGGGGTCAGGACCCCTGGTGGTGGGCACAAGGGGGTGTCAGAGGGGTCACCAAAGATCATTAGAAAACACAGTATTTTCTGTTGGTCATGAGGGTTCTGTGTGGGAAGTTTGGCCCAATTCTATCATTGGTAGAGTTCAGAATGCTCTTTGATTGTAGGTGAACTATAAATCCCAGCAACTACAACTCCCAAATGTCAAGGTCTATTTTCCCCAAACTCCACCAGTGTTCACATTTGGGCATATTGAGTATTTCGTGCCAAGTTTGGTCCAGATCCATCATTGTTTGAGTCCACAGTGATCTCTGGATGTAGGTGAACTACAACTCCAAAACCAAAGGACACTGCCCACCAAACCTTTCAGTATTTTCTGTTGGTCATGGGAGAACTGTGTGCTAAGTTTGGTTCAATTCCATCATTGGTGGGGTTCAGAATGCTGTTTGTAGGTGAACTATAAATCACAGAAGCTACAACTCCCAAATGACAAAACATTATTTTTTTTGCCAGAAGGACAGAGAGTTTCATCTATGCTGATGATCGTGCCATTACCGCTCAAGCAGGGAGCTTTGAGATGGTAGAACAGAAGCTCTCCGAAGCTCTAGGTGCTCTTACTGCCTATTACAGGGAAAACCAACTGATCCCTAATCCATCTAAAACACAGACATGCGCCTTTCACCTTAAGAACAGACAAGCTTCCCGAGCTCTGAGGATTACCTGGGAAGGAATCCCACTGGAGCATTGCAGCACACCCAAATACCTGGGAGTCACTTTGGACCGTGCTCTGACCTACAAGAAGCACTGCCTGAATATCAAGCAAAAAGTGGGTGCTAGAAACAATATCATACGAAAGCTGACTGGCACAACCTGGGGATCACAACCAGACACAGTGAAGACAACATCCCTTGTGCTATGCTACTCTGCTGCTGAGTATGCATGCCCAGTGTGGAACACATCTCACTACGCTAAAACAGTGGATGTGGCTCTTAATGAGACATGCCGCATTATCACGGGGTGTCTGCGCCCTACACCACTGGAGAAATTACACTGTTAGCCGGTATTGCACCACCTGACATCCGCCGGGAAGTAGCAGCCAATAGTGAAAGGACCAAGGCAGAGACATCTCCAGCCCATCCCTTGTTTGGGTATCAGCCAGCATGTCAACAACTTAAATCAAGAAATAGTTTTCTAAGATCTACAGAGACACTCGCTGGAACACCCCAGCAAGCGAGAGTCCAAAAGTGGCAGGCCCAAACCCAGCACCTCAATTCATGGGTGATACCAGATGAGAGACTCCCCCTGGGCACTCAGAAGACTGGGCGACTTGGAAGGCGCTGAACAGATTGCGCTCTGGCACCACGAGATGCAGAGCCAATCTTAAGAAATGGGGCTACAGGGTGGAATCCACGGCATGCGAGTGAGGAGAAGAGCAAACCACTGACCACCTGCTGCAATGCACCCTGAGCCCTGCCACATGCACGATGGAGGACCTTCTTGCGGCAACACCAGAGGCACTCCAAGTGGCCAGATACTGGTCAAAGGACATTTAACCAAATACCAAATTTACAAAATCTGTGTGGTTTTTTTCTTTCTTTTTTTTCTTTTTCTTTTTAATCTCTGTGTTTGTTTTGCTCTGTTAGAATTGTAATACAATGGTTGCTGATGACACGATAAATAAATAGGTGTCTTGTGTCCAAATTTGGTGTATATTCGTCAAGTGGTGTTTGAGTTCTGTTAATCCCACAAACAAACATTTCATTTTTATTTATATAGATTTTTATTTACAACATTTATATGCCGCCCTTCTCACCTCGAAGGGGACTCAGAGCGGCTTACAAGTAAAAAGTAAATACAATATATTATATTATTATCATAGCACAACATTAATATTATATAACATTATACTGTAATAGTATTAGTAATTTACATTTAATATAAAATATATAATTATAATATAATTTTGTTAGTATTTATTTTATTTATTTATCGTGTCATAAGCAACCATACCATTGTATTACATTTCTAACAGGACAAAACAAACACACAGATTAAAACAACAACAAAAAACAAACACAGATTTTGCAAACTTGGTATTTGGTTAAATGTCCTTTGACCAGTATCTGGCCACTTGGAGTGCCTCTGGTGTTGCTGCAAGAAGGTCCTCCATGGTGCATGTGGCAGGGCTCAGGTTGCATTGCAGCAGGTGGTCTGTGGTTTGCACTTCTCCACACTCACATGTCGTGGATTCCACCCTGTAGCCCCATTTCTTAAGATTGGCTCTGCATCTCATGGTGCCAGAGCGCAGTCTGTTCAGCGCCTTCCAAGTCGCCCAGTCTTCTGTGTGCCCAGGGAGGAGTCTCTCATCTGGTATCACCCATGGGTTGAGGTGCTGGGTTTGGGCCTGCCACTTTTGGACTCTCGCTTGCTGAGGTGTTCCAGCGAGTGTCTCTGTAGATCTAAGAAAACTATGTTTTGATTTAAGTCGTTGACGTGCTGGCTGATACCCAAACAAGGGATGAGCTGGATATGTCGCTGCCTTGGTCCTTTCACTATTGGCTGCTACTTCCCGGCAGATGTCAGGTGGTGTGATACCGGCTAAGCAGTGTAATTTCTCCAGTGGTGTGGGGCGCAGACACCCTGTGATAATGCGGCATGTCTCATTAAGAGCCACATCTACTGTTTTAGCGTGGGGAGATGTGTTCCACACTGGGCATGCGTATTCAGCAGCAGAGTAGCACAGTGCAAGGGCAGATGTCTTCACTGTGTCTGGTTGTGATCCCCAGGTTGTGCCAGCTTTCGTATGATATTGTTTCTAGCACCCACTTTTTGCTTGATGTTCAGGCAGTGCTTCTTGTAGTCAGAGCATGGTCCAGAGTGACTCCCAGGTATTTGGGTGTATTTTGTTAGTAGTAGTAGCATATTGTATTACATTATAATATTATCAACTATCAAATATTATCAACTATCTCCTTTTGCATAAAATATTCAGCCTGGCATTTCCTACAGTTGCTCAAGCAGCTTTTTTAAAGTGTGCTAGCTGGTGAATGACCATAGGGAGAAGCCCTGCATCTTCCATGTCTTTTGTTGTTGTTGTTCATTCGTTCAGTCGTCTCCGACTCTTCGTGACCTCATGGACCAGCCTACGCCAGAGCTCCCTGTCGGCCGTTACCACCCCCAGCTCCCTCAAGGTCAGTCCAGTCACTTCAAGGATGCCATCCATCCATCTTGCCCTTGGTCGGCCCCTCTTCCTTTTGCCTTCCACTTTCCCCAGCATAATTGTCTTCTCTAGGCTTTCCTGTCTCCTCATGACGTGGCCAAAGTACTTCAACTTTGTCTCTAGTATCTTTCCCTCCAGTGAGCAGTCGGGCTTTATTTCCTGGAGGATGGACTGGTTGGATCTTCTCGCAGTCCAAGGCACTCTCAGAACTTTCCTCCAACACCACAGCTCAAAAGCATCGATCTTCCTTCGCTCAGCCTTCCCTAAGGTCCAGCTCTCACATCCGTAGGTTACTACAGGGAATACCATGGCTTTGACTAGGCGGATCTTTGTTTACAAAGTCTCAAAATGGCATCCTTCATTCTTGAAGCTCTGGAAGCGCTGTCCCTTTAAATAGGCGGCGGCAGCCAATTACAGAAGAGACTGGGAGTGACGTCACTGTGAGCGCGAAAGGGGCGGGGTGCGGGGGGGAGGAGGCCCCGGGAAAGGCCGAAACGTGATCCGACGATTGCGCATGCGCGTCGTCAGGGAAGCTAAATCCTGGGCGGAGTCAGCTGCCCCTTAGAGAGCATGTGAGAAGAGTTGAGATGAGACTTCCGGGTTGCGTTCGACCATTTTGCCTTGGGAGCTTGCCTCTGTCCTGCCCTGCATCATCTCATGGAATTCCCATTACTTTCCTCCAAAATGTCTTTTGGATCATTGTGAATCTTGGCAGGAATAAGGACATACCAGAAATACTATGTTGAAACAAGGATGGGAAATTTGGAAGAACTGTGCATTCTGATGGATGCAGTTATTCTTAATGTTGTTAGTCTTAAAGTGGCCAATTTTAATAAACTTTGTTTTAAGTTATCGGACTAAATTGTGCCACAAGATTTGGTCTAAATGTTTGGATTGATATTATGTCCAAATATTTAAAACCTAAATATAGCTCAGATGGTTTTAAAAGAAGTCTTTTTTATTGTCACACAGAAGTACATCAATTGGAATTTTTTAAAATTAACTGTAAAACCTGTAATAATATTTATTTATTTACGACATTTATGTCCCACCCTTCTCATCCTGAAGGGGACTCAGAGCAGCTTACAAGTTATATGTACATATGCGTTGTTGTAGGTTTTTTCGGGCTATACGGCCATGGTCTAGAGGCATTCTCTCCTGACGTTTCGCCTACATCTATGGCAAGCATCCTCAGAGGTAGTGAGATCTGTTGGAACTAGGAAAAAGGGTTTATATATCTGTGGAATGACCACGGTGGGACAAAGGACTCTTGCCTGCTGGAGCTAGGTGTGAATGTTTCAACTGACCACCTTGATTAGCATATAATAGCCTGACAGTGCCTGGAGCAAACCTTTGTTGAGAGGTGATTCGTTGTCCTTGTTTGTTTCCTCTCTGTTGTTGTGCTGTTGTAATTTTAGAGTTTTTTAATACTGGTAGCCAGATCTTGTTCAGCACCAGTATTAAAAAAAACTCTAAAATTACAACAGCACAACAACAGAGAGGAAACAAACAAGGACATCCAATCACTTCTCAACAAAAGTTTGTTCCAGGCACTGTCAGGCTATTATATGCTAATCAAGGT